TGGTCAGCTGCCTGGTGCACACTCCCTACGGGGGATGTGCCTGCAACCAAGGTACATGCCCTTGACTGGAATTGAACCCGGGACCCTTCAGTCCGCAGGCCGACGCTCTATCCACTGAACCAAACCAGTTAGGGCTGGAATATATTTAAGCATCATTATTCAGGTAAAATTTCCCCAACCCCCGCTCCCCAATCTAGTATATATTAATTTGTGACGAGAAATATTCATTTGGCCACCAACTTTGCCAAAGTAACTTTATTTTTATTTTTTAAAATATATTTTATTGATTTTTTACAGAGAGGAAGTGAGAGATATAGAAAGTTTGAAACATCGATGAGAGAGAAACATCGATCAGCTGCCTCCTGCACATCTCCCACTGGGGATGTGCCCGCAACCCAGGTACATGCCCTTGGCCGGAATCGAACCTGGGACCTTTCAGTCCGCAGGCCAACGCTCCATCCACTGAGCCAAACCGGTTTCGGCGCCAAAGTAACTTTATTAAATTCTGAAAGTTTAATAAAAGAACGATGTAAAAATATTGAAAAATACATTAGTTGTTAATACATACGAGGGATCCCTACTTGTTGTTTTCTTATTGCTGGACCAATGTTTAGTTTCTTATCCTTATAATTCAGTTTTTCAGCCTAAAATAAGAAAAAAAATAAATTTTATTATTTTGGTGCTATTGTTTATAAAACCAATAAGGAAAATTAGTAAGAAACACTTTTTTAAAATCAGACTATAGCATTCTTTGATAGTAGCAAGTCACAGTGGAAAGGGCAAAGTTTTTGCATTTAAACAGACTTAGGTCCGAATCTACTGCTCTGACCCTAATTCCTAATCTGAAATACAGTCAATCCTCTATTCATGGATTTGGGAATTACTCTACTCATTAAAATTTATTTGTAATCCCAAAATCAATACTCATGGCAATTTAGCGGTTATTAGCTGGCAAGAGCAGAGGTGAAAAATGTGAATTGCCTGACACACATGGTTCCAGTTGAGATCAAAGAAGGCAACACTATCTTATTTCAGCTTTTATACTGTAAACAAGTGTCCTTTCTGTGGTCTATATAGTGCCATGTGTTTTGCATTTTTGTCTTTATGTTGGTGATTTTGCTACTTAAAATGGCCTTTGAGTGTGGTGCTGAAGCGCTGGTCAGTGTTATTGGGCATAAGAAGGCTGTCATGTGCCTTATGGAGAAGAGGTGGACTTCATTCAGGCATGAGCTGCAGTGCTGTTGGCCATGAAATCAATATTAATGAATCAATAATAGGAAGTATGTCTTTAAACAGAAACACACATAAAATAAAGTTATGTATTGATTGGTTAATGAAAATACTGGGGGCAGAAGCTTGTGGAAACCTAGGCGTATGCTTGTAGAAACAGCAGTTCAATATTTGCTGTATAATTCAGTATTTGTGGTGACTTTATAAAACATTGCTACTATAAACAAGGAGAATGGAGTACTTAATATACAATTAATATTTAACTGAGAATTTAATATACAATTCAAAATCTATTTTTTCTAAAAAATTTAATGTCACTTTTGCCAAATTTGTTATTACCCCAAATTACAGGCTACAGATTTGTTTTAATATGGATGTTCTTAGTTCATATAAAGATTTTCATAGGAGGGGAAATAATCAAAGATAACCTCATTCTAGAAATCCATATGTGTAGTGTTTTTTAGGAATTTAAAGTGCTATTAACACTCAGAAAATACATATCCTCACATTCTTGGCTTAAGCAGATAAAGTAAAAAATTAGATTACAACTCCACAACCATACTCATGTAATGATTTGAAATTTGTTTTTCTGAAGATAAAGTTTCTCTTTAATGCTTTTTTTTTTTAAAATATGTTTATTTTATTGATTTTTTACAGAGAGGAAGGGAAAGGGATAGAGAGTTAGAAACATCGATGAGAGAGAAACATCGATCAGCTGCCTTTCTGCACACCCCCAACCGGGGATGTGCCAAGGTACATGCCCTTGACCGGAATCGAACCTGGGACCCTTCAGATCGCAGGCTGACACTCTATCCACTGAGCCACGCCGGCCAGGGCAATGCTTTTTTTATTAATTCAATTTTTTGTAGGCTAATGTCAATCTTAAGATGCAAATAAGTTAAAAAAATTTTTTAGCAACTGATCATTGTACTAGAACTGTACTATTAAAATAAACACCACAAAGAATTATTTTGAAAGAAATTCCAAAAAGAAAGTTAAATACATTAAAACATCTTACCTCTTGTAAAATTTTTTGTGCATCTTCTTGTGTTTCAAAAGTGACGAAACCATACCTAAATAAATGAATTATTTTCTTAGAACATTACTTTAGAATTATATTAAAAAATTTAAAAAAATTTGTGTTTTAAGAATGGGCCACTGTAGGAGTGAGCATTTTTCTATGGTGCATCAGCATAAAAAACTTAGGAGAATTTTTAGAGGATAGTGAAACTTAACACTATCACTTCCTCTTAGAGTCAGGGGACTAAAAAAAAACAATTCAGGGATCCTGAAATAGTTTCTGATCTGAACTGTATAAGACAGAAGAGCATGAGAGATACATGTTTTGGCTTATAAATTAGAATGCAATAAATTTCAGTCCAGAGCAATAATCTCTTGAAAATAACAAGTTTGGCTTAAATAGAAATCAAAATAGGAAAAACATTTTAATTAAAAAATGTCAACACAAAAAATTTTTTACATTGGTAAATGAGTATACAAATACATTAATTACTATTATGAACACATATAAACTGATAATACAATTATGTATTTACTAAACAAATTAAACTAGAAATATGTACAATGTAGACTTTATACCTACTTTTCATATCTAATTGTTACCTTCAGAGTATAACTCATATAACATTCAAGATACAAATACATGTTCAAAAAAACCCCCAAAACAGTTAGACAAAAAGAAATAAAAGAAATAAAAAGCATATCCCTCCAAAATGTAATTTCTATTTAAATAACTTAAGGAAACTTTTTTGAGTAGTGCTATTTTTCTTATTTTCTTAATTATTGTATAAAGTTTCTTTTTTTTAAACAAAGGAATTTCTCTTCTTTATTTGGCTAAACATTAAACAAGGGTTAAGGAAATATTTTTACACTGAATTTTTTTTGTAGAACACATACACCACCCAGAGGAAAAGGCTTAAAATAGTTTATACGTATTTCTATGTGATTATCAATGATAAAAATGGGTATTACCAAAATATTGCCAATTCTATAAGCTAAACAAAAGAAATACAATCTCACTTTATCCTAACATTGTTCATCAGTAAGAGGAAGTCGCTTATCTGTTTAGAAAAAACCTCGCTGCAGAATCCCATTACCTCTTCCAAAGTACCCACTTGCCATGTTGTTTGCCTCTTCTATAGTGTTCTATCACTTCATTGGTCCCTTCTCTTATACCTATAAATATGGACGTCTTACCTCTCTTTCAAGGAAACAAATACGTACAATCTTTCTCTGATCTCCACTGCCTTAACTATTTTAACTTTGCAGTCAAACTTCTTAGGTAAGTACACTATATAAACTACTTTTTTTTCCTCTGAAATTTGGCTTTTGCATATACCAACCTACTAAAACAGCTCTAAGGTCATTAGAGATTTCTAGACAAATCCTACTGCTTTCTTCTCAATTTTCATTCTCCTTAAGAAATTAAAAATTATTCTTGAGTTATATTTCTCAGATTAGTCCCTTAATGAGGTCTCTGATGCACAACCTACAGAGATTCCTTTGTGTCAGCTTTTTTTCAAATAAAGCTCAATTTAGTCTAAAGCAGGTATGTAATTGCAACAATATCTGATTTCTTTAGCTTCTGGTTCCTTAGCTATTGGACATTATCTACTCAACATTAAGTGCTTGCTATGTAACACTGAATGGTCCCTTAGCCCATGCAAGAATAATTCCCAACAAATTATAGTGCCCCCCTTCCTCCAACATACACACACACACACACACACACACACACACACACGAGATCAAAAGGTAGGGCAAAAAGGAGGAGGAAAGAAGACTGCACAAAAATCTCTAGAAAAAATGGAAGCAAAGTAAGTTAGCATGCAAAACCTAGTAACCCAATAAAAACACAATTGCTAATTCTATGTATTATCTATAGTGATACTAACCCTTTAGACACTCCAGCTCTGTCATTTACAATCTTCACTTCTTTCACAGACCCATATTGAGAAAAAAATTTTCTTAAATCATTTTCATTTGTCTAATGGCATGAAAAAAACAAAAACATTTTTAATTGATAAAAGATGTAAAAACTCATGCTTCTTTTAGAGACAGAAAAGTTTATAAATAAATAATATGAATGAGTATAAGAATACCTCTCATTAAAAGTGGATGAAACCACTAGGTTATTAAAATCAATATATGTAAATACTTTGCTTTATTCAGAACTACATTGTTAAACATAGTTTAATAGTAAAAAGTTTTAAGCTGAATTGTTTTAAAACTGCAAAGAAAGCTCAGTATTTAAAGGAGTTCTTATTCTCTAGTTGGCCAGTTGAAAAATATAATTTGCATTAGGCATGTCTATAATTATAGTAAGGAAATACAGGTAGTCATGCTGTTCGAAGGTTTGTCTAACACCACTGCTTTTACAGAAGACCTACATTAGTACCTGTTTTGGCTAACCAAAAGAAATCCAAAGAGGACTTCTGCTTTTACGAGAAAAGGCAAAAAGTGGAAATACGTTCAACTTTTGTTCTGCAGCAAGCCCGTACACCACAGAGGCCGCGCAGCCCACGTCCTCCCCTGGAACTGCACACACCTCAGCATCAAGCTGCTATAGCTCTGAACTGTGCCTGTGAGCATCTGTGCTTTATCTTGATTTATTTTGTGTATCCCTCAGCAAGATGTGTCCTGAGGTGTCAGAAAAGCCTGAGAGAGTGCAAAAAGATGCTATGCTTAGCTTAAAACTGGACGTAAACATATTTGGTATGATTTGGTTAGGTATTTTGGGAGGCCTGGGAAACACTAAAAATTTTTCCATATGCATTTATGTCCTCGCTTTAGAACATTTCAGTTTATGAAAGGTTTCATAGGAATGCTCTACTTTCAGGAAGTGGAGGAAGCATGTGTTCCAAGAGGGCTCACATGAAGGCAGCGGAACTAAGTTATATTGGCCTACACCAGTCACTTTTAATCAGCATAGTATCCTGGAAGAGTACGGTCTTAGAAAAGGAATATATTTCCAGACGTTCGTGAACTCAATTTGTGATAACAATGGAGTAGTTACATAATTTAAAGTTTCTGGATGCTTTATCATACTCAATATACATTTTAGCTAAATAGACATTATTATATTCAAAATAAAATTTGAATTATAATTAGACTATAATATATAAGATATCTACTAAGATAGTTTTGGCATATCTAGTTTATTTTTAAAATATTTTTTTGACTTCAGAGTGGAAGGGAGAGGGAGAGATAGAAAGAAACATCAATGATGAGAGAGAATCATTGATTGGCTGCCTTCTGCACACACCCCACTGGGGATTAAGTCCACAACCTAGGCATGTGCCCTTGACTAGAATCGAACCCGGCAGCCTTCAGTCGGCAGGCTGATGCTCTGTCCACGGAGCCAAACTAGCTAGGGCTGGCATATCTAGTTTTAATTACTCTCATAATAGCCTTATATCACCTTTCTTGCAGTATTTATACTAAATTCATTGCAATTTCATTTTCTGGTTCATCTATAACTGTTTGCCCTGAGAGGATCTTTAAATATCCCTAGAAAAATTTTTCTTTATAGACATAGGTAAGCACATGCCTAACAGCAGAGCTAATGCCTTCTGAGTTCCACTGCTACCTTACTCCTTAAATACACTATTGTTTAGTTAGTGACCTGAAGCCTGCTAACATGGATGGTGACAAATACTGAGCGAACGTGAGAATGAATGAATGACTTATTTCAGTACAAAATGAAATTAACACCAGAATAAGAATTTCTATTGGAGAACTGAAAACAAATTAATTCTAAGTATTTTCTGATAAAGAATCAATAGCTCAATTTTGCAATTCAAACTTAAAGGAGACAGAAAGTCAAGATGATTAAATATTACAGAGAGATGGGCTTCTAAAAAAAGTTTAAAAAAGTTTGAGACTTCTTGGGGCTACAGTAAACAGTTTCATTTTGGGAATTTATCTATGATTTTGGAAAAGGTTTAAGTATAAGGGAGGGAATTCTAGCAGTTATCCTAAAGCTATGACTGCATTGTAACAATATAGCCTCCCAAATTCATTTTGTAGTTTTCAGTAAGTTAGAATAACATAGCCAAATGTTTAAATTTATTGATGATTTATTTAAAAAAAATATACTAAGCTGTTTTAATATAAATCCTGAACAAGAATAATCAACTTGAATATTTATGGTCTGCCATTAATATTTTCCATAGAAATAAAATATTTAAAATAGGCATTTCATAAGAAATAATTTTTCTTTATTTTTACTGAACCATTCTTATAGTTGCTTAAGATTCCACTTAATATATCCTTGCATGCCTTTTCTGTAGGTGTTTACTACATGGGGATGCTGTAAAACATCTCACAAAGTATGCCTTTCTGAAATAGCTTATTATATCATTTAAATATATTACTGTTAAGATGTTTACTCTGACAAGAACACAGGCCTGCTTGGGTGATCAAATTTTAAGTTAGGTGATAGGAAGCAATTTGCAAAAGATGAAAGTCTAGGACACTCAGGAATCAGAAATAAAAGTTGGGGTAAAGAAACAGGATTTCATAGGACAAATTTTGTGTGTGTGTTTTCTTTGAGTCTACTTTTGTAAATTATAATCACTTATTTGGGCTTCTGGAGTACTATGCAAGAAAGTATAACTAATATGATATGGTGAAATGAAGAATATGGAGCTATGAGTCAGGAAAGTAGGATTCTAGTCTTTCTGCTGTCACTAAGCTAGCTAGGAGACTTACAGACAGGTCAGTGAGTCTTAATTTCCATGTATGTGAAACTGCACAATTATATATGCTCTATTTAATCGCCACTGCTTTTGAAAATATTCTCTATATTAAGACAAGTTGAAAACTATTAATCATTGTACAAATAGCAAATATGTTGTTATTTTTATAGTTGCACAAGGAAACAATTTCCAAGAAATAAAACTACTTCTAATGCAAAAATTACACCATGTTATACACTGAAATAGGTACCTTAAAGTCAATTCCTCCTACGAAGATGCGATTAGGGATCACTGTTCCATATCTTGGGGCACTTGTTGGGTTATTCAAAGGCACAGGTGATGCAGGATTAGGGGATGAAGACAATGAATCTGTTTGTGTCTGATTTGATGTTTGCTGTAAAATAAAATTCTTTTTAAACTTTAAGCACTGGATATAACTTTTAAAAAAATATGTCTTTATTGTTTTTTTTAAAATATATTTTTATTGATTAGCAGAGAGGAAGGGAGAGGGAGAGAGAGAGAGAGAAACATCAATGATGAGAGAGAATCATTGACTGGCTGCCTCCTGCACGCCCCCTAGTGTGGTTGAGCCCAAAACCCAGGCATGTGCTCTGGACCAATCGTACCCAGGACCCTTTAGTCTGCAGGTGGATGCTCTATCCACCGAGCCAAACCAGTTAGGGCATGCTGGATATAACTTTTTAAAAAAATATATTTTTATTAATTTTAGAGAGGAAGGGAGAGGGAGAGAGAGAGATAGAAACAACGATGAGAGAGAATCATTGATCAGCTGCCTCCTGCATGCCCCCCACTGGGGATTGAGCCCATAATCTGGGGCATATGCCCTTGACCAGAATCGAACCCAGAACCCTTGAGTTCGCAGGAGGACACTCTATTCACTGAGCCAAACCGCTAGGGCTGGATATAACTTTTGATGCAGGCTGAAAACATGTATGTTTCAAAAAGATGTCATTTAAATAAAATATACTTTAGACTTTAATTTTATTCTAATTTATGAAGATTATAATGAAAGCTAGTAACTTTTTTGGGCAACATAAAGATAGGAAATGTAGAATCTACTCCATTATAGTAGATAAAATCTTAAATATATTAACATACTTGTTAATTATTATTAAGTATACCACTAAAATATTATAGCCACTTAAATACTGTAAGTATTAAGGAGGAATTTTAAACTAAAAAAAAAAAAAGTTTGCGAAAGAGAAAAGTAGCCCTGGAAAGCTAGGAGCTGGCCTGGCACAACCAACTTGGTCCTGGTGGTTTTAGGAGTTGGCCCAGAACTCATAGCTAGGCTGTGGTATTCTCTTGTTAACAGAACAACAACAAGGCTACTCTGTGATTGTGATGGATCGAGATAAAAACAAGACCACTCCATAATCACATCTGATCATTGACAAAAACAAAAGCATTGTCCAAACCACGAGAAGGACTAAACATCCTTCTATTCTGGCTGAAATGAGTGACTGCTCCTTCTTCTTTATCAGCTTTAGCCTTGATCTATATTTCTTGCCTACAAGAATTAACATACTAATCAATTACTCCCACGTCCTGACAACATGCATTTCAGAATAAAGCCCTCTTCCTTGAACTCTAAAAAATGCTTAACATAAGCCTAAACCCTGTAAGTTCGTTTTAACATCATCTTACTGAGAGGTCCCGTGGTGTGTACCTTATGAAGGACAACAATTCAATAGACTCAACTTTATTTAATTACAGATGTGCTCCTGGCGGTCTCTGGCCAAAGCACATTTACAAGTTAATGAACACTGACATTCAGATTTGTTTTTCAGTCACTTGTTAGTTTGAAGATTTGACTGATTGCATTAAAAATTATACTATACCTAACCCTGAATGGGTGGCTCAGATGGTTGGAGCATTATCCTGTATATCAAAAGGTTGAGTTGATTCCCCGTAAAGGCACATACTTAGGTTGAGGGTTCAATCCATGGTTGGGGCATGTACCGGAGGCAACCGATCGATGTCTCCCTCTCTCTCTCTCTCTCTCCCCCCCGCCTTCCTCTCTCTAAACATATCCTTGTGTGAAGATTTAAAAAAATTATATACCTATAAGTATGCATTTTTATAACGAAGAATTGAGCTCAGTGTATAATCATATGTACATAGTTCTAAGTCAGGCGGCCTAATTTAGATTTTAATAAATATAAGCCTTTCCACAATGGAAAGATAATAGACTCTTAAAGTACATCTAAAAAAGACGACTTGGGAATAGAACTTTGAAGAGAAACCAATTCAAGAACTTGCTAATTATTTTCCTTCTAGGAACACTAAACAGACTTCTGGGACAATCTAACATACTAAGTGAGTTCCTAAAAAAGCTTGAAGTTCATAATTTCAATTCTCCGAGAAACAAATACAGAAAAATAAAATTTTTAATTTAGATAACGGAATTGTTCTTTTTCACATTTTGTCTTGTCTTTCATTTCATTAGCCAATAAAACCATCATCTCTAAATTAATTTCTGCAAGATGGACAAACCACTAGGCCAGTGGTGACTAGGAGGCTATAGACTGAACCTTATGGGCTCTATTCTCCATATTGTCTTAAGGAGGAAAAACACATACTTTCTAATATGGCAGTTCATAAAAAGATCTACTAAACCACAGAAAAGTCATCATATTTAAAATTACTGTATTGTTGTTTCCAACTGAAGAAATCTGGACTCCAATCTTAACATAAGCATCCTCTCTGGACATTTGGAGGTTATTTGTAACTTCACTTGTGGGACACATGCCTAGAATAGATTATTTTGGGATGCTTAATTTTATTTTTCAACTGTAGATTGGTATTGCTAGAAAAAATAGAATAATAGGTATAATCTTGTCTCTACCTGTTTAGAAAGTGTATAAATTATCTATTTGCAAATTTAAAATCAGTCTTCATGAAATTCTCTTACAAAATGAGTTCGATGGATGAGCGCATTTGTTCTCAAATTTGTTTACATAAAAGTCACCCCCATTTTTCCTATCCTGGAGAGAGGGGTGGCATGAGCGGAAGTGAACAGCATGCTTTATTTCCAATCCCGAGAAACTAGTTAACCGGGTGTGGGACGGGAGACGGGGAGGTCAGCTTTTTCATCCAATGTACTTCATTCTCCAGCGGCTAAGGCTCCTGCTCTACTGTGGGCTCCATCTGCTTCTCCTCTTTACCACTTACCACTTCCCATCGCGGCATTTACTATGTTTACTGCCTGTCTCTTCCCACTAAAGATAATGCTCACAAAGGAAGGGGTTTTGCCCGTGCTGTTCCCTGCAGCACCTAGGGCATAGCATGATGGTGCAGGGATTCGGGAAATATTTGAACGGACGAAGCACTTCTTCTTGCTCACAACATTGCCAAGCAGCAGCCTGCAGGCTTTAGAACACAGCGAGAGGAACAGCCTAGAAAATACTGGAATGTTTGCAGGTGGAGTCCCTAAGGAAGGGCAGCGAGGCAGAGTGAGCCGCTACAACCTCCCCTCCCGCCGGCGATCCCCTTGCAAAGCCATGAAAAGCCCATGTGCGCAGCGAGCCGCGGGGACTCGGGCACGAGGAGGGCCCTTTGCTCAGGGAGCGTGGAGCACCACCCAGTTCACGAAAAGCGCCCTCCGTCCTCCGAAGGGATGCGCCTTCAGTACCGCCACCCGCTGGGGATTAACCGGGACCCCCATCCGCCACTTGGCCCCCGGAGACACGGAGACGACAGGAAGGGGGCGGCTAACCGTCGCAGTCACGGCCTCGACGCTCCGTCCCCTGCGAGGCCAGCAAGTGGAGGCACCGGAGGAAATGGCCGCGGAGACAACTTCCTCGGGTTCCCGCGGGTCATCGTGAATTTGGGCGCCGACACGCGGGTCCACCCCCTCCCCACCAAAGTGCGGGAGGGAAAAAAAGGCTAACCAGCGAGAAATTTTGCCCCACAAACCCGCCAGCAGCCGTGGCGGGAACCCTCAACGGCACCGACCCGACGTCGGCCTCGTGCGTAGCTCACCCCGCGGCCCTCGCGTAGCGCGC